TGCAGGTGCTCAGAACTCAGGTGAGAGGGATCGTTGTGATTGGGTGGTGGTGGAGCCTGGCCGAACTGTTACAACAGTAATGCAGATACATTAAAAATTGTTGTTCAGCGTGAGAAAAAGGACGCAATATTGATGTGCGCATGCACAGTAAACCCTGGTAGGACAATCTGACGGGTAGGATAAAATATCAGGACACCGGCTCTGCACATTTTTTATGTCTCCCTTATCTGACACAGTTCAGAGTATCCCTGCAGTAGCCAATCAGTTTTCTTAATTAATATTTTAATTAAGCACATCATTTCTTGTCGAGGTGAAAATGTGTCTCACAATATCAGTATAGTTTGTGGCTGAACATTTTACAAAGCTTGCATTATTTTATTCTGAATTGTACCGTTATCTGTTTGTTTCCAATAACGTGCATTGTGTTTCACTGTTACGTGGAGCACATCTCCACAACTCAGTCAACAAACTCATCTCTGCATATGCTAAGAGTTTGGGTTAATTATAACGTTCATCTGTGGACGAAAGGTGCGCCGTTGAAAACATAACAAATATTGTAACGCCAACACAAAATATTGCATCAATATAGTTCTAAATATGCAATCACTGGGCCGCTGGCGCCCTCTGTAGGCATTTTAATAATACATATTGTACATACGTTTATTGTTTAGATGTACATTTCTTAATGTATTTTAACAGTGTTGTTCAATGAAACCATATGATTACTATGAATTAACCAATCATTATTTTAAAGGTTGTTGTTCGCTTAGGTCTGTTTTTATTACCACAAAAATATTATCTGAATACTTCGTAAATTATTATTTGAAGCGATTTGAAGTATCAAAACCATGGTTAATTTGTGGTTACCATTGCTAAAAGAACCATGTTTTTTTTTTTTAATTCGTAATAAAATTATGGTTAATTTTCGTAAGGGAACATGGAAACTCTTGAGAGAATATTAAGGCAGATGCGGCGGTGATATTATTACCGACATTAAAAAAACACTATACAAGTGTACCACTATACCAACATTAAAACACGTTATTAACGTCAACATCCAAAAAAGTTTCACAGGATTATGAACGTACCTAAACGTGATGCACGGGCTTCATCTTGTCCCTATTCTCTTAATGAGTAATGGGTGTGTTTGGGACATTACATGCAATAAACCAATCATCTCCCATTCCCTTTAAGAGCCAGTTGCGCTCACGCCATGGCGGATTTGCTATTTACACGGTGGAATTTGCAAGCGCAAAGACACAACGTGTCTCCAGAGATGAAACGGATCTGCTCGTGCGCGAGCAAATAGGTAGCCTAATTCTGATACATGCAATGACTATCCATTATGACATGAAGCAATTTTTATATTTATGTAGCCTACACAATAATAATCTTTTACATTGCAATCCTTTAATTTTTTATATTTGGCATGCTTGTGTGTTGCTGTGCGTCCCTATGTGTGTAATAAGCAGAGTGTACGCGGGCTGTGGACCCGCCTGTACTAACACACTCTTTAAATAACAAAAAACTACTGCGCCATTGACTTTAGACCAGGTTTTAATTGGTCAATGGCGCAGTCTATTTTAGTTGCCTCAAAATAGCAAAGTGCCAACAATGCGCCTGAACACACCTCGTTTTTAGACCAGCACGCCCACGGACGCAAATGCATTTGCTATTTAAACAATGTGGCGCAGGACGTGAAAATGATTACTGCGTCAGGCTGAAACTAGCATAAAACACTTGCGTTGCGTCTGGCGCCTCTAAAGTCTGTCAAGCTTTGGTTTAAGAGGATTGGTTGCTCAGTGTCCCATCACAGTGGCAGATCTAGTTTATTTCTTTGTTATAAGCAAAGTTGTCTCTCAAGGTTAGTTTAAGTCCACTTTGTCACCTAATGCATGAACCTCAGTTCTGCTCAGTGTGTCCTGACAGCAAGTAGAATCAATGTGAGTGAGCAAAGAAACGTGGAGTTCATTTACGGATTGCCATCCTGAAAGATTAACTCATGTATTATTATTATTATTATTATTTACTCTAATTATTATTTAATTGCCTTTTGTTGTACCAAACCTGTATGACTTTCTTCATAGACAAACATAAGGAAAACAAGAGCTTACACAGCTCTTTTCCATACAGTGACAGCTCATAATGACATTAGCTGTTAAATAACACCATTAAAGCAACTATATGTAGTATTGTGACTTTGGAGCCCCCTACAGTTAAGTGAGAGGAATTCAGGGCTTAAAAGTTCTCTGGCACCGTGCCGGATCTCCGGCGTGCGGTGTTTGGCTGCAGGGAAAAAAAGTTGTCCTACATTTAAAAACACTTGATGATATCACGTTCGAGTTCATGAGTTCGCCTACCAATGTATGAGAGGAACACATCTTTCACTCTCAACCAAACTAACATTACTAGCCAATCAGAAGTTTTTGCTCTTATAAACACGAGACGTGCATTAGCTGATGAATGGAAAATAAGCCTAGGTCTTGAGCGTGACACATTGAAAAAGCTGCGAGGCGCAATGGTCAAAGATTTCCATCTAGCGTCATATTTACATAGAAAAGCTATTAAAGGGGTCATATGATTCGATTTCAGTTTTTCCTTTCTCTTTGGAGTGTTACAAGCTCTTAGCGTCATCTCCATAAGAACGATATGATTGCCAGAGCGAATTTACCGGGATTTTTGAAAAGGTCCTGTTCACACACGATCTGGTAATTTACCAGTAAAGACTGTATGTGTGAAAGGGGCTAAACTCTTCCTCCGCATATGCGGTGAGTTTGGGTTGCTTAATTAACGTTCATCTGGGAAAACTCACTTGATTTGTACCGTAAATCATTTAAACCTATGCCAACACAGGAGAATACATCAACATATTTCTAAATATGCGATTTATTAGAATACATCAACATGTTTCTAAATATGCGATGTATTGAACATCGCGATTTCAAAAATAAAAGTTTCAGACTTTGCATGTGGCCAAATATTAAAATTAAATGGATTTAAACATCGTTGAATGACATGAAACATCACCAGGCCGTTGGCGCCCTCTGCAGGTATTTGTTATAATATAGGTATATTACATTGTGTATTTAACAGTGTTGTTCAATAAAACCATGTAATTGGTTTTGATTGGCCAATTATTATTGCCTCATCATTAGTTTATATATAAATATAGTCATATTAAAGCCTGTTTTTCCACTTAGTTCTATTTGTATTACAATCTGTAGACGCGCCCATAACAACAAAAGACTATACTTTATTGAACCTTTTCTGATAAGAAGTGTGCACTGCAAACGCGAGCATTTTTGACGTTCGTTTCTGTCCAGTCTGCTCGTTTTATCACGTTTAACCACAGCTGTCGTCGTTTTTTTGTCTGGCAGTGGCAGCAGATATGCGATCAAATTTCTAATTTGAGGCTGTATTACGTCGATTCTGGCACCCAACATCACAACAAGATGATATTTTTGTTTTTTTTGTTAATTGAACTGAACAGTAGTTTTCTGTAGTAAACTGTCTTTGTATATTTCCTATTTTATATTCATTTCCTAGTATTTAATTTACCATTATTTCTTTTGAACAAAACAATTTTTGAAATTTCATGTTTTAGATTGTAGGTCATCTTGTACCGTCAAGGACAAAGCTAACGAGCAAAACTTGATTGTAGTGAGTAACCTTTCTTGTTATTGCTGTTTCAAATATCCCACCATAATCTGTAGTCTGAGCCTGTCAAGTGCTAATGGCAATGGCAGATACGTTACTAGTTAGTTTCAAGGAAAATCATTTTCAATTTTTGTTTGCCAAATAACCCTGTGTATGTGTCCGCCCCCGCAACCCCCAATCCCCAGAAAAAAGTTCAGGCTCAGGATTTTTTTTTTGCTTTAACCCCTGGGAATTCACTGTTGTAAATATATCACTGTCGTAATTTCAGTCGATAACTTTACCAGAGATGGTCTTATTATTGCAGATACCAGGGTCCGTGAATCTACCATTAGAGAAAGCATAACGGTCAACTTGGATCGCGTGTGCCTTGATAATCCATCAGATCACGGCCTTAATGTCACTGAATTTCTGTCAGAGTTGTGCGACAGTCAATCACTGTTTGTGGATAGCATTGAAATGAATGAGAAGAGCCATAAACTGAATCCTACCTGTTGCAAATTGTCTGTGACTTATCTTATAAAATAGCATTTTGTTCAGTGTAAACAATCAAATCCAAAGCAATCCAATATGAATGCTTGATGGCAAATGTGTTAAAGATTCATTAAATAATAAGCTGTCCCCCCCGCCCCACAAAAGCTGTTTATTCAGCGTATTGAAGCTCCTCCACTGAAATCCATTAAAAAAAAAAAAGAAAGAAAGCAAAACAGCCTCTGGTCTCCCTTCCTGTGTAATGCAGCGTTACGCTTTTTTTTTTTTGGCTAAACTTGGAGGCTTGTCGTCAAGCAGCTTTGGCTCTACAATTGCATTTGCTGCTGCTGTAAAATAATCTGCTATTTTTGCGCCATTTAGTTGTAATTATGACATTTAAGTAATTACATTTGTGTCTGTTCCTCGTGCAAAGCCATCAAAATAAAAAGACTTTCATTGACAAGATAACAGCATGTAGGTTTGGAACAACATGAGAGTGAGTAAATACTGAACTATACCTGTAACTATTTGTCTCAGAAGTAGCGGTGTGTGATAGATGTGCTGTGAATCACAGTCAGATCTTGAGGGCAGTTGTGCCAGCTAGATTTCACCTTCCATGGTACCACCCACTGTGTGCCATATGTCCATTCTACCGAGATTCACTTTGGCGTTTTATGAGGTTTGAATAGCAATCCACGTGCATGAAGGTTTTATACTGGAGTCTGTGTTGATATTGGTTCTTTTTGGGTTGGCGAGTCCCTGCCAAGATGCAATTTCTGTCCACCAAAGCTGTCTGATAAAAGTTTATTTCATGCCTTTCTCAAATGTGCGACTGTGATTTCCCTTGCTGTTTTTCATGGTTGTTTGTTCTGTAGATCGGAGGACTGGAGCACCATTACCATTTCCATCACAGCAGGGTGGTCCGCAGATCCACCTTTGCCACCAGAGGCGCTCACAGCTTCATTCACATGGACCCGAAGGTAAGCCTTCCCTCCTGTGGCCACATTACCATCACCAAACAAACAAGTTAAAGCAACAGAGCACCCAAAAATGAAAATTTGCTCAAAATGTACTCACCCTCAGGCCATCCAAGATATAGATGAGTTTGTTTCTTCATGGGAGCAGATTTGGAGAAATGTAGCATTGCATCACTTGCTCACCAATGGATCCTCTGCAGTGAATGGGTGCCGTCAGAATGAGAGTCCAAACAGCTGATAAAAACATCTCAATAATCCATAAGTAATCCACACCACTCCAGTCCAGCAGTTAATGTCTTGAGAAGTGAAAAGCTGCATGTTTGTAAAGGCCCTGTTTGAAGGGAAAAGCTGTGTGTTTGTAAGAAACAAATCCATCATTCAGTCTTCCAGTTGAAAAAGTTATCTCATCTGAATCAGGAGTGAAATATGCACAGATCAAGCACCGTTTACAAGTGAAAATAGTCCAAAACAGTTCTAAGCAAATATGATTTTGATGTGAGAGGACAACAGGAGAAGGACCTTTTCACTGGAGAAAGCATTATTATGAATTGTGGACTAATATTTTGATGATGAATTTGAATTTTTACACACATGCAGCTTTTCTCTATTGTGATGTTTTTATCAGCTGTTTGGACTCATTCTGACGGCACCCATTCACTGCAGAGCATCCATTGGTGAGCAAGTGATGGAATATTACATTTCTCCAAATCTGTTCCCATGTAGAAACAAACTCATCTACATCAAATAAATGCAGCTTTGGTGAGCATAAGAGACTTCTTTTAAAAACATTTTAAAAATCTTACTGACCCAAACTTTGTAATAATACTGTACGGTATTGTAACTAAAACAAAACTTAAAATGGTAGTTTGCAGCTGCTGTCTTCATGAAAAGTCTCATTTAGTTGATCTAAATGGCCTCAAACAAAACTGAATATATTTCAAAAATTGTATGCATAAACTTGGCACTGTGCAGGCCATCTGACACACGATCTGAGTCTGTGCTGCTGAATCATAAACACCCGCTGATGCTGGAGGGATGGTAGTTAAAATTTACAGCTGAATGTGGCAGCAGTGGTGCATTCATAGCATGTTTCATTGTCCGCATGTCCTGCAGTATGCTGTGTTGTAGTGAATCTGAAAAAATGAAACTTTAACTTTGACTTTAGTGGTATTATTTTCAGTATGGTGCAGTTTCTGATGCGTCATCACGGACAGAAGGCACAATGTGTCATAAGGAATGAAACCGACTAAAACTAAAGATGTGGATTAGTACTCAAGTAGTCATGTAAACATTTCACAAATTCAGTTCACCTATTATCTAAGAGGCCTCATTTGTAATTTTGGGGTTGAGTTATGGCATAATTTTTTATGTTACCTATAATTTTTAATGGTATCTTGCAGTCTGATTTTTTTCAACGCTGTACAGTGTGACTTTGCATAATTAAGCAATAGCACAGATGGACCCCCCTCCCACCACCATGTACAATGACCGAAATTCACCACCGTAAAACTATATCTGAATCTTTATGGAAAGTAATTACAAAAAAAAAAACCTTTATATGTATATAACTTTTTCAGTCCCACCAGAATTTTGCAGGCCCAAAATTATTTAAATTGGCTGCAACTTTTGAAAAAATGTAGATATTTGCTGGATTTTTTAATGTGGATTTGCATAAGGCAATGGTGACACCAGTATAGAAATATTCATAATTTTGTTTCACTGAAAATACAGAATTGTTTTAGACACACAGATGCTTGCATGCTGTCACTGATTACATTTGTATTTTAAAGATTTTATATTATTCTTTCATGCTTTGACAACATACCAGTTATATTATTTTCTATTGTTGTAATATTGTTTTTTGGATTTTTAATTTTTTTATTAATACTGTCTTCAACTGCATTCATTCAAAATATTAAAAATGTGCAGCTGAACACCTATTAATCAGACCCCCCCCTCCTCAAGTACATTTTTTTAACACAAAAATGCAAGATAATGCTGCAATCATAATCTAGTTGTCTAATAAATCTGCCATTTTGTATTATAAATATTACTGTTTGAGTACTTGCTTTATTCCTCTTTTGTAAGTCGCTTTGGATAAAAGCGTCTGCTAAAAGCATAAATATAAATTTAATTGGTTGAATTTGTGTTGCATTCCCAACTTGATGGACTGGATTATGCATCATCGAAATGAACTAAAAACTAAACTGAAACTAAACTAGTAAAACCTTCTAAACTATAATAACATTTCCTAGGAGCTGTAGCAACCATTATATGGAGGACAATTTATAGGTATTTTTTTTAGACTTTACTAAGGGCAAAATAGTTAGACACATATACAAACTATTTTAATAAATGTAAACTATTTTACAATCCTACTACATTTAGTGGCTATTTACCATTGCATGCCTTTCAGCAAATCAGGTAGGAGAACCAAGACTGCTGTTGAATATTAATTAAGACTGCCCAATGAATATCCATGAGCCAAGCTGTTAAGTTCTGTTACAATTGTGCCCTCCCTACTTTTCACATGGCTGTTCAGCCTCTCTATCTTGCACGTTAAATCACATCGGTCCTGAACGCATCAATATGACGAGCAGCCGTGTTTGTCCAAGACTTCATTTGACAGAGCAGCCAGGCATTCAAAGTCAAGCTGTTTCCAGGGTTTGGAAAGCGGCCCTCTCCTGCTAAGATTATCTCTTCCCGACAGCCGGCATCTCGGGAGTAATAAAACAGTCCAGGTCTATTGGAGGGCATCTGACGGAGGGCCTCTGATCATATCCTGCTCTGGGCCATGTGTACAAATGGTGCGGCATGGCAAATGCCCAATAACCCATTTCATCAGTGTCAGGCCACAGGCAGAGGCCATGCGAGGCGGCGCGAAATGTTTTGTAACCGCAAGCAAAGAGCTGTCAAGCCTGAAAAGAATGTAAAAAAATACTCTTCCAATAGATGTGTTGGTGTCCTTACAAAAGGACACTTCTTATCTTTCATATCTGACATGCAGTGTTCAACCTGCTTTTGTTGCGTTGAAATAAAAAGACACCAGTGTTCAATAAGTAATTACACTACCGTTCAAAAGTCAGTATGATTTTTTTTTTTTTAAGAAATCAATGCTTTTATTCAACAAGGATGCATAAAATGTATAATGTTACAAAAGTTTTTTTTTTTTTTCAAATAAATATTCTTTTGAACTTTCTATTCATCAAAACATCCTGAAGAAAATGTATCACTGTTTCCAAAAAAAAAAAAAAAAGCAGCCCAACTGTTTTTTAACATTGATAAATCAGCATATCAGAAAGATTTCTGAAGGATCATGTGACACTGAAGACTGAAGTAATGATGCTGAAAATTCAGCTTTGCATCACAGGAATAAATTACATTTTGAAATATATTCAAATAGAAAACAGTTATTTTTAATTGTAATAATTTTCATAATTTTTGATCAAATAAATACAGCCTTGGTGAGCAAAAGAGACTTCAAAATCATTTTTAAAACTTACTGACCCCAAACTTTTAAACGGTAGTGTATATTTACTGTATAAAAAATAATAAAAAACAATTCTTTAGTCAAGTAATATAGTTTTATTTTTTTACTGATTATTGAAGTTTTTTTTATCTCTTTATATTAATTTTCTTGAAACAACACACACAATGTCACAAAATAGCTACTATACAGGAAAAATACGACATCAAGCACCCTTAGCTGTAACACTGTACAATACATGACTTTGGAGCCAAGAACATTAAAGCTTTATATTAGAACCCCCCCCCGCCAAAAAAAAAAGGTGTAGAAGGTTACTTCAAGTGCTTTACAATCAGGAATGCTGTACATGAGCAACATAGTGTTAATATACAATCTTTTATCCTGATGAACGGCAACAAATAGTTGCCATCCAAATAGTGTATATTCAGACAGTTTGATTAAAAGAGATGTAATCCAATATATTCAGTCTGCCTGTAAGAACAGTCTTATTGGTTTCCAGATCTTGATGAAAATGGATAATTTATCTTTTAATATATATCTCAGTTCTTCCAAATGTAACATATTTCCCAGTTCCCTTGCCCACATCTCAAAAGTAGGGCCAGAATCTGCTTTCCACATCTGTAAGATCAGTTTTTTTGCAAGTAACATGCAGAGCGAAATGGCCTGTGTTTGATATTTACTACAAAAGGCATTTTCTGCACCTAGAAGTCCAATACAAGGCTCAGGCTCCAAGTCGACAGAATACACTTCAGAAAGAAATTTAAATACACATTTCCAAAATGGCTGAATTTTACTACATGACCGTAAAGAATGAAACTGGGTGCCTTCTAACGTTTTACACTTATTACAGAGTGGGGAAATCGTGGGATACATTTTATGAAGTTTTAATTTAGAATAATGAAGCCTATGAATTACCTTAAACTGTTATTAATGATTTGAAGTATGGCTAAATTTGTACAAATTTGACACAGTACCACTCGCACCAGGGTGTACATTAACAATACTCTCTAAAGTTGGATTTAAATTCAAAGCTTTAAAGTCTGAACTGTGCTTCCTAGCGAAGTCTCTGACTTGCAAATAACGGAAAAAATGAGCAGGAACAAGAGCATAGTATTGTTTTAGTTGTTCAAAAGAACTCAATGTACCTTCCCTATAAAGATCTTGTATTGTTACTATACCCATATGTTTCCATTGAGAAAAGATCTTATCATGTAACCCCGGAGGAAAAGCATGATTATTACAGATTGGGGTATCCAAATATAAATCTGGAATTTTCAAATATACCTTGATTTGTTTCCATACTTTAATTAGGTTTGAAATAACTATGTTACCATTGAAATTTTTGACTTCAATTTTGACGAGACTGTTAAGCAGAGCTGTTAATGAAGTCTTATAACAAGAAGCTTCTTCAATTGCTAACCATTCTGGCATGTCACCTAACTCCACTAAACCAACCTTCCTCCACCACGCTAAAGTATTTAAGTTAGCTGCCCAATAATAATATTTAAAATTGGGAAGGTCAAGTAATATAGTTCATGAGACCTAAGATCATTCTATAAATGGTGCGACTTGATTCATTAATGCAGAATGTGCATTTACAGGTGTTTTTTTTTTTTTTGCATTTTATCGGCTATCCTAGATATAAATCTGGAATTTTCAAATGTACCTTGATTTGTTTCCATACTTTAATTAGGTTTGAAATAACTACGTTACCATTGATATTTTTGACTTCAATTTTGATGGGACTGTTAAAGGGTTAGTTCACCCAAAAATGAAAATTAGGCTGCGTTTATTTTATAATACGTAAGTGTACACAACAGTTCATACTACAAATCAAGTGAAATGCATAGTTTATTTTCTTGTTACTCCGTACATGAGCTGTTGAATTGGTGTGTGACATACTTGATATAAATCCATTTTAAACAGCTTAAACAACTAATTTTGATGGTTTCATTTGTGTATAAGTCTAATACATGCCGTTTTCATGATCTCATATTTATTGAGAGACTACTTATTTGTGACCCTGGAGCACAAAACCAGTCTTAAGTCGCTGGGGTATATTTGTAGCAATAGCC